TAGCTGTGCAGAGCCACTGGTCATTTCCCACATTTCCAGTGTTCTCTATGTGGGAATCTTACTTTTTATTTCCACTTTTGCCTCCTTTGTTTTCTCCTTTGTCTTAATTCATCTATGCTTTTTGCTCCATTGATAACATGAAGTGTGAGAGTTTTCTGATACTTTCTAGTACATGTGATGTGTCCATTTTCTTTCTTTTTCTTTTTTTTTTTTTTTTGGCAGCTGGCTGGTACAGGGATCAAACCCTAAACTTTGGTGTTATAACCCCACATGAGCTAACTGGCCAGCCTTCCATTTTTTTATTCTTTTTTTTTTTTTTTTGGCAGCTGGCTGGTACAGGGATCAAACCCTAAACTTTGGTGTTATAACACCACATGAGCTAACTGGCCAGCCTTCCATTTTTTTATTCTTTTTTTTTTTTTTTTCCTTTTTTCGTGACCGGGAATGGATCGCAACCCTCAGTGTCACGCCCATACTGGACTGGGACCGGCAACGGGATCGCAACCCTCGGTGTTGCGCACACACCTCGCTCAGCCAGTGAGCGGCCGCCGGTCTGTATGTGGGATCCGAACCCTCGGCGGGAGCGCCACCGCGCTCCCAAGCGGCACACTGTAGCAGTGCGCCACCGGGCTGGCCCCATCCATTTTTTTATTCTTAAAAAACAATGGTTCATTGCCCGTCTGCTCATTTCTCTGTTAAACTCAGCCAGATGGATGGGAGTCTGGTTGTTACTGATTTCTCCTCTCAGAGGCAACCAGGATTGCCTGCTTCTTTTAGATTGTTCCAGGAACCCTTTATGCAGTGAGGATAATGGATTAGAAGAGGGCAAAAGTGGAAGCAAGAAGAGTTAGAGGCAAATAGATTCGGTGACAAAGAATAATGGCCTGAACCAAGGAGTACAGAGGGAAGGACAGACAAGAGAGTTACTTGGACAGTGAAATGGAAAGGACTTAGTAAGTGAACGGGTATAAGGGGTGAGAGAGGAGTCAAAGACAATCACCAGTATTCCAGTCTGTGTTAACGGGCAGATGGAGCCAGGATGAAAGCTGGTTTTGTGGAAAAGACGTGTCAGTTGAAGGGGCCAATGGGATATTCATGGAAAGATGTCTGGCAGATGGAGATATGTGGTCATCAGCATCCACGGAGCTAAAGGGTAAGTAGAGCAAGGAGTGGGCCCAGGGATCACCAACACGCAGAGGAAGGAGGACTGAAAAGGAAGATTATAAAGAGGTAGTCAAAGAAGCAGGAAGGAAAAGCAGGAGGAAAAGCAGGAGGATATGGCATCACGGACACCAAATGATGAGAGCATTTCAAGGTGGTCAGTGTCAAAAGCTGCCAAGAAGTCAAATAAGACAACAACTTAACACAAGGTGATTTCTGACAATCCTGGCAAAAACAGAGGCAGTGGAGTATAGTGGGAGCAGAAGGTACAATTCCTAAATCCCAGCAGAATTACAAATGACTATATCATCTAGATGTTTAGGATAACTTGTGAAAAGTAAACCACAAAATGACCTCTAAATACATGATAACAGATGAAACAGGAAGGAAGACATAATTTCTTTACAAACCACTATTACATAGGATATGCTTAGTACCTGAAATTTCAAAGGGAAAAAAAAATCCAACACTTGAACAATAATGTGAAGTTTCTCAAATATTAAGCAAAAAAAATCATTCCAATATTTGGACACTGAATTTGGCATAAGACCTCTAAAATGCCAAGTCCATGGACTGCAACAGCACTGGCCGGGGGTCCCTAAAGTCTTCCCCCAGGACCCAAAGGCCATGCCTCCTTCTAATCAGGAAGGAAAGACTTGAACACAAAGCCACAGAGGAAGCTAGAAGAAAGAGAGAAGGTTGTCATCAGCACATTAACATGGCAACATGAGGGGAATTAGTCACCCCAGCCTAACCTTGCACCATACCTAATAATCCCCTACCACCAAGAACCTTCACTTCAAATCCCCTCATTTACATGACTAATTCAGATTGGCATTTTTCTTTCTGGAACATGGAGTCCAGCCAAACTAAGTTGACAGGCACACGAAGGAAACCTAAGAACTGATGAAAGAAAAACACATCAGCCATGAAAACCACAGACTGCTGTCCTGAGTAAGAAAGGCCCTGTGCTCTCATCTTAAACAGAAGGTCATGCTCGGAACTGGACATGGAGGGGACCTCCCCTAATACCAAACAAACATTAAGAGAATCACACTGTTGCAGATTCTTACAATGGACTGTTAAATCCATTCCAAGATATTCATGTTACAGAAAAGAGAAGGAATTTTCCCAAGGTCACAGAGTTTGGCTGGACCTGGGCAAGAACCTGTCTGGTTTTTTCTGCACTATACCGCAAGCCCTCCTGATGTCCAACTGCTGCCAAATACCTATACCCAGCCTTGCCTCTCCCCAAAGCTCCAGACCGATATAACCTACCAATTCTGATATTTACTCTGGGCTATCTCAAAAGCTCAATTCCTGACATCTAACACTGAACTCATGATCTTTCCCCAACAACAGTGTTTCATTCAGGGCTTCCTATATAAAGAGATGACATCACCATCCATCTGGCTCCTGAGCCAGAGACCAAGGAATCGTGTCCAGCCATACCACTTCCTACCTGTAACCTTAGGTAAATTAAATAAAATCTTTAAACTTCAGATTCTGTCATCTGAAAAGCGGGATAACAACAGTAATTACCTCATAAGATAGCTGTGAGCATTGAAAGAAAAGATGTATATAAAATGTTAGGCACATAGAAAATGTCTTTGTCTATCTTCTTGCTTGCTCCTTGATTCTCGCTCCCTCACCTGGTTGACACCTATGTATCATTCCCATTTCAACTCAAATGTTATTCCCCTCTAGAAGTCTTCCTTGACCATCAAGGCTAGATCACACCCCACCCCCATTTTTCATCCTCAAAGCACAGTGTAATTTCTATTCACACCACTTATCATAATTATGCATTTACTTAATGATGGTGTGGCTAATGACCATCTCCTCCAATAGCCTGTAAGCTCCACGAGAGCAGCGACTGCTAGTGTTATACCTCATTTTTGTATTCTCAACACAGTACCTGGCACTTAATAGGTGTGCACTAAATATTAGTTGAGTGAAGGGATCAAGAAGCATTGTTTGTCAGCAGAAAAGGGGACCTAGAGATTAGAAGTCACAGGGCACCAATCCAAGTGAGTGTGCACAGCTATCCCATCCAGGGGGCTAGGTAGAAAGGGTCTGTCAAGCCCAGTTCTACCACTGCAAAGCTCAGGATGCATTGCTTGCTTGACCATTATTCTAACCATTCAGGATTTGTTCCCTACAGAGCCAGAACACACTCTGCAGGACCCTGCACAGCCACACCCTGGAGAGTTTTGGGATGAATCCAAGTCCCTCCAATACCTTTCCTAATGTAAATATCACTCCATGATGTGTGTGATTCTCTTGTTTAAAGGCACATTTTTTGTACCACAGGATCTCTGAATGCAGCCAACTACTACATCTGGAGCTCAGCTGAAGAAACAGCTATTTCAACATGGGCGTAAAAGTGAGCTGTACTGGCCCTAGGAGAGAATGGCATCTTGGTTCTCTTTTGTGGTACCAACAAGGGATTTTTAAGAATACATTTCAGTACACCCAACATTTGTTTATGCAGCAACTCTAGAACCCAGCCTCCTTGTAATATGGGACTCTAATGCAGAGCAAAATATTTTAAAGTACAGGTTTTGACATTGGACAGGCCTAGATTCAAATTCTAGCTCTACCATTACTAATTAAGAATGAAACAGACCAGCTACTTGACATCTCTCTAAGCCACAGTCAATTCATCTATACTAATAGACATAGCAGCACCTAGATTTTATAGTTGTAGGAATCATTAAATATAAATATATACCATATGGCTAAATTATTATCTTTAAGAAAATTCTTTGCACACAGAGTACCACCTTAGAAGATCAAGTTCTGCACCATGTGTAACACAGTGCCCACCCCCAGAAGGCAGAAGGTATTCAGTGAACACCAGGATTTTCCTCAGACCTTGTCTATTCTGTTCCAGACTAACAGCCCACTTCATTAGAGTGTCTGAAACCATCTTTCTATTTTGAATAAAACTGCCTGTGCATAAATGATCCTTCTTTCTGAGTTATACAATTGAAATGCTATACAAACTACCCCACTTCCTCTTTAGCGTCAAACAGTAAACCCAGTTATTTTTTGTAATTTCTGTCATGCAGACACACACACACACACACACACACACCCTCACACACACACACCCTCCTTTGAGGAAATTACTTCCTCAGCACAGGACTCAGAGATATTATACAAAACTACAGCTGCAGACACAGAAAAAAATAAAAGCTCTATCCAAAGAAAAATACTGGAGAAATGGAAACTGAAATTGTCTAAGCTGTGGTACAGCCAGAAGAAACTGAGATATCACCTGTGTTTTTGCCATAACGTTTCCTCTGTATCTATTACATATAGGAAATAGTAGTTGCTGCCACTTGTAAAAATAACTGTTCTCCAAACAACATTGGCCTAGGCACTGAAAGAGAATACAGAAGAACTACCTCTGCCTTCCAAAAGTTTATCACGTAACTGGAGGCACAAAACAAATGAAAAATAGTTAAGTATGCACCGAATGAGTAATAAAGAATAAGGCAGAGACAAGATAGCATTCTTCAGAAAAAGTGAATTTCTCCTGAATGAGGTGCCTAATAATTATGTAGATGAAGGTGGAAGGACATTTTAGACATAATAAAGATAAAGAACCAGCCTGGTTTATTCTAGAAACACTGAGAAGGGATAGAAACATACATAGTAGAAAAGATTTAGGAAAATATACAAGCAACAGAACATGAAGTACAATATTTACATTAAGAGGTAGTTTTATATCTTCCTTGCAATGAAAAAGAGGGCCCATCAAAAAGCCATGTCTCCAAAGCCCAAAGCTTGTTTCTACTCTGCCATTGGCATAACCCCACATCATCACTTACCCGGATAAGTGAAGCCTGATGCCGAAGGGGCTTGGCTCCTGGGCCCCCTGATGAGGGTCCCTCTGGTTGGACAAGGGGTTGTCTCGCTTCATAAGGAGCTGAAAAAGCAGACGGGAAAGGCAACAAGGTATACAAAGATTCCACCCCAAAATTATGACTTCACACTAAAACGGATACAGTGTCTGCTTTTCGGGGAAAAATTGACAAAACAGTTAGAGTACATGCTTATATGGCCACCTAGAACAGACAAACCCTGATGCTCTTGATCACAATTTCACTGAACAATCTAAAGACAGTGAACCAATTCATGATAAGGCAGAAAAATATTTACATTAGGTTAAAAATAGTGAGAACCTCAACTGGGACAGAAAACAAGAGTAGCTAGGATAGTGCCATGTTATAAGCATTCAAATTCTAAATATAAGGTAAATTCTATATATACCCCCCGATTTAAATGTCTTCCATTCATCATCCACTCCCCAAAGAAAAAAACTAATATGCATTTTGAACACTAAGAATATTATCGTTTATTTTGTTTATTTTTGAAAAATAAATGGCACTGTCTTCCTTACCAGACAGAATATAAAACCAAGTAGAGAAAAATAAAGGTGAATAAATGTATTTTGTTTAGTATTCTACTATTAAAGCCAAACTATTTAGAAATAATTTTGCTGCCTTTTAGAAAAGTTTTTAAGCCATAAAAATGGATGTATTTTTTTACTCTTTTTACTTCCAGAAAACTTAATAACGACCTTGCCAATATTGTAGGGAGACAGTTAAACATAACAAGGCAGTATTCAGCTACAACAGAAAGGAGAAAATTATAACCCAAGCTGAAACCATTTCTCATCTCTGTAAGTTAGCAGTTTGAGGTTTTGAAAATATTTAAATAAGTACAAAACTTTCTTTCTGTAGCTTACTTATAAATAAAATTAGGTGGAGAGTAAAGCAGCCTGTGAGAGCACCATATTTAGCATAGTTCGATCCTTTTAAACTAAAGAAGGTACAACGATAGCACATCAAGTACAATAAACCAGTCTTGGGCTCACATCTGCTTTATGTATTTCTTCCTAGCAACTGGAACACAACATTATAACACATCAAAATACATTAACACACATTAAAAATATCAAATGATTGCCTGGCAAACCATTAAGTGGATTTTTGAGAACCTAAGAATGGATAAAAATATAAAAACTGCAAAAGAAACATAAAGAGCACATAATCCAAATCTTAAAGAGTAAGTCTCAGCTGGTAGGCAGGCATTGTCTTTTGAGAAGAAGAATTTTTTTTAAATCACTCCATAGTGATAGAACACAGAATTAAACCCTTAATGCCAAATGCACCATGTGGAAAGGTTTTAAACACAGTAAACTGTAGGTAGCATGACTGGGATCCTAGTGGTCATGAACAAAAGCTTCCCATAAGAAGGAAGGGGCTTCTACTGCCAGGGGAGACATGCAGGAGAAGGCCACCTTGGCTCTAGTCCCTCACCTACAAGGGCCTTCCCTTGGAAAAGACAGATATATCTCAACTGTAAGGCTTGGATGAAGACTTAGCTACGTGGGGGTCATATTTGGAGAGGGAGATATTCTCTTCCTACTCATGTGGGAAGCCTGGGCTGGTCATGCCTGCCTATGACTGGAAAGATGAGTGTCTGAAGCCCATCCAGTCACAAATCTAAGACGTGTCCTCTGATCAGCTATATTAGTAACAATGGTGATATACAGGCCATCATCAGTCTGACTTCTGGCTCATTCCTCAATTGGATCTGAACTTAGGAGATAAAAAGGTAGGTATTATCACCTCAACTCTCTTTCCTCCCAAATGAAACCCAAAGCATGTAACTCAGTGCAAAACAAACAATTCTTCAATCCCCTGGAAGAGGTTATGAGGAGCTAGAAGTACCATCTTTCTCCAAGGAAGGAGTATAAAAAAGACCCTGAAGATTACATCACTCTGGTGTCAAATTGGAACTTTTTGTCAGTTTCTTATTCACCTAAGACCCAGTGATTCCACTCATAGGTGCTAGGAAAATGACAGCTTATGTCACAAAAAGACTCATACACGAATGTTTATAGTAAGTACCCTTACTCAGAATAGCCAAACACTGGAAACAACTCAAATGTCCATCAGCGGTAAAATGATTATTAAATTGTATAAATTCCATGCATACAATGGAATACTACTGAATGATAAAAAGGAATAAGCTACTGATACAACAATATGGATAAATTTCAACCATTATGCTGAGGGAAAGATGACTGGAGAGGGGCATATCTGGCATAATGGAAACGTTCTATTCTTGATCTAAGTAGTGGCTACATGGGCATACCCATTTGTTAAAACTCAAATTGCATTTTATCATACATACATTTTACCTCACTTAAAAGAAGTATAAAAAGAAATAAAGGTATGGACAGCTTTGGCATAGGCTGCTGTTAAAAAAGACGGAGAGAAGTAGGCTCCTTCCTTGCCAATGGAGGAACGGAAGCCCAATTAGATGGAATGAAGAGGGAATGAGGCATGAAGGAGATAGAGTACTGACAAGTTTTTTTTAAGGAGTACCAAAGACAGAAGTTGGTGATAGGCTGACTCAGTATAACAAAAACAGATTTACCTGTAAATTAAAAAAATCAACTTCTAAACCTAAATAAGATTTGAAGTAGAAAAAAAAATCGACTTCTAAACATAGGGAAATCAATCCCTTTTAGTTTCAGACACCAATGGAATATTCAAGTTGCAGGAGAGTGATTTTTTTGTTACTATCCATTAGCAGCAGATCTTGTATTTGCATAGGACTTAATTTCCAAACAGATTTTACACTCCTGCTCTCACTTAATCCTCATAATACCCCTATAGGACACTGTTACTCCATTTTAAAAGAGGAGAGGAAATCACGGCTCAGAGAAGTTAAATGGCTTGCCCAGAGACCTACAGCTAGTCTCAGAAACCCCACCTTCTGATTCCAATCAAAAGCTATTTCCATCACACCATACCTGCTTCTCTCTGCAAGATTACAGCCTCTCTTTAGTTCAGCCTAGCACACATTTTTATTTCTGTGCCCCTCTAGAAGTCACCACTATTTTCAATGCAGTAAAAACCAGCAGAAACTGGGTCATTTTCAGCCACAGTGCAGAAAACAAAAAAGGGGGGTTACAGATACCCAATTCTAGAATACCTTTAATTGGTCATATCTTAAACTAGAAGCCTGAATCCCAGGAGGACAAGATGCTGAAGTGAATTTATGGAGCTTTAAGCACTGCAGCCTGGGCAGCCAACTCTGCAAGTCATCCTCAAAACTAACTAATGCATTTTACCACTAACACGGCCAGCAGAGCATAAATGTGAGCAAGCAGGCAACCTCACAATTGTGCACATTACATACTTCTCAGCAAAATGCTATCCCTAGCATTTCCTTTATTCTTATTCCAAAACACAAGAGCTAAATATCTTCTTTTATATACTCAGTCTTTAAAGGTTGGATTAACTCTTTCTTTTGCACAGTTACATTTTTAAGAAATCTCATAAAAGCAGTTATAATATAATATGTTTGGTATATTTGCAGAAAGGAATAACAATTCCAAAAAAACACAAACCTTTAACATGCTATGTTCCTGTTTAATGAAATCTGTAAATGAAAGATTAAATCATCTAAATAGTTGCTTGCAAGTCTAAAGATGAATTAGTGTCTAGGAGACAAAGCATTACTGAGATATGTTTAAGTTCATTTTTTTAAAGACCTTGCTTGACAGCATAAAATTAAATTGAGGCATGTTCCCAAAGACAGGGGTAATTAAATCCAGAAATTAAGCAGCTGGTGGCATTGCTGCCTGGTAGATTAAGGAGTCTGTAAGACACTGCTTGGGACAGCTGGCCCCCAGGTCGCCTCTTACCTGGATGCATCTGTTCTGTGCCGCTCCGCAGTTTGCTGTAGCCATGGCTCAAGGGCACCCTCTGGTAATGAGGCGGGGAAGAAGGAGGGGAGGCGAGGGGTGACATCGTGGGAGACTGTGTTTCCTGCTTCAAAGAACCAGAGCAGAGTTCAGAGGCGACCACTTGAGAAGCCTGGTGTTCCAAGCTGCAGTTAGGAAGCATAACGCAACTCTACTGCTGGTGACCTGGCTGATTTAACTAATGGGGGGAAACGTTTTCTCAAAAATGCAGCACGGTTAAAAAGCAGTGTCTGAGGATTCAAAAATCTCCCAGAGAATAGTCTCACCAGTGCTGAGTTACCTAGATTACTAAAACAATCCTGAAACATTTTCAGTTATTCCAGTAATATTTTCCTGTGGAAAATGAAAGACAATGATCACATGAAATAATATCCATACCTCCCAATTGTGACCTCTTTGTGGATAGATTCCATTTTTGTTCATTAATAAAGAATCCTATTTCTTGGATTTATACTTAAAGTCTTCCAGCAAATATGAATATTAAAATATGTTTTTAAATGCTTAATGCTAAATATTCTTGGAGCTTACTATGCCAAAGTAAAATGCCAGCTTTTTTTTTTCTTTTTACACTGAGAGATTGCAATTCATGATGGGCAAACCACTCCAACTAGCCTACTCCTAAATACTAAGATGAAGACTTAACAAGCTACAATTTGAATCCCAATTTGAATATTAACCCGATGTAGGACCCTAGGCAAGGTAAGCAACTTTACCTGCTGCTAGGTTTCCTCCTTTTTTTTTTTTTTTTAATACTACCAACAGGCTTGTAACTATGGACCCAAGTTACAAGGAAACAGTGCTTTTTATCAACACAGAGACTATTATAGGCTCCCTTAGTCTAAAGAGAATATGCAACCTAAGATGCTGATCAAATACTCTTCTTCAAGGAAAAGATAAATATATCTTCTCTGCAGTATGAGCTCTCACACTCATGGATTGGGTGGGACTAGCATAAACCCAGACTGAACTGAAAGGATGTGTCTTCATTCACACAGCCAGGGACTGGGCCTGAAAATTTCCTGGGGCATCAGCCACCATGGGACAGTGGGTCCTTGTTCCTCTCCAAATGCTGGAGGGAAAACACATCAAAGAACATTGTCTGAAAATTCCTATACCCCCCTCCTTTTTCAATATGTCCCTGAAGAACTGGTTTAAAATATGTCCGAATTACGAAAGCAACAGTACATGGAATTGTATAACAGGATGTCTATACCTCCCTTAACTGTAAAGATAAAGCTTTGTAGCAATACCTCATATATCCAACATTATCAGGATGAGCCATGTTAGTTTTCCAACATAATCTGTTAATATTCACTGTATTTTTAAAACACTTTGATTCAAGTCTTCCTAAAATATAACAAATTTCTTTACCTTATAGAAAACACTACATCAAATATAATTTGACTTATCTGCATGATTCAGTCTATTAGAAGTATGAGCTGCACCTTGATGCCCTCGGAGTTTGCTAATGTGTAGACTATTTACCTCTTCTTGACATGCCCATTCTTCTGGGATTTTATACTATTGTCTCTACCAATCACCACCTGACTACGGCAATTAGTGGTTTAATTTTAAAAGCCCATCCTCCCTATTCTGGTTCCAAACCTGCTAAATAGGCAATGGTAGCATTTCCCAAGATGGCATTCCAAACATGTTCCCCAAGAAAGGATTCCTGGTGAAAGAAATTTAGTAAACAAAGATCTCCAGGTCCCTTTACTGCAGGACTTCTCAGGCCTTTTCTGTGCTAATGTGCACTGTGAATTTCCAAGACTGAGAATTTAGTCTTTCCCCCAAGAATAGGATATGAAGCAGCATTCTCCAAACATATTTAACCACAGAATCCTTTTCTCCAGACTTCTTTTTAGAGGAGAGGACCTATTAAAAACTCCTGGAAGTTACATTTCAAAGAACCCATTTAGAAAATGACTGCCCTAGAGAAATCAAATAAGTGTATTAAATCAGCAGCCTGATTTTAGACACAATTCTACATTAAATTAGGTTCTATAAAGGGCCTGTGGGTGGCTCATGGTAATACCTACGCGTCAGCCTCTTTTTCTTGCTGCAAAGAAACTTTACTGGCTCACTTCCAAGTCTATAATTGTGCTCCATATGGTGAGATTTGCTGGAAGCTTAACAGCAGATGAGGCCCTGCTATGTGAGGTTTCATGGTCAGAATCAAATGAACATGCCTGATCAGACTGTTTACCTGTTTATCCTCATCGTCCATTCTTTTGAAAGAATTTTTTTCCGTGGTTAAATATGGAATTTGAACCTTAGTTCCATGCAGCTCAGCCAGGTTCCCAAATCGTATCTCACCATCGTTCTTTGACATCATAAAGCGAGGCAGAGGCAATTCTTTAGGACCAGAATCAGAGAAGCTTACTTTATTTAAAAACTGCAAAAAAGGGAACTCAATAGCCAAAAGATGAATCATTTTTGAGGAAAAATTCCAGAGCACTAAATATAGATTAAATTTTGATTTAGACAATACAGATTCCTATAATAATGTCATGACAGAAAAATGCTACGGTTTAACCAAGGTATTCTGGCTTAACATTTTTCTTTTTTTTTCTTTTTTTCAACCTATCACAGTTGTCATGCAAGGCTTAACATTTTTCAATGTTGCCGAATCATTGCAGAACAAATTCAGGTTTGACACTGATCTCCTTCTTTATCCTTTAGTCCAGCACCAAGAAAAAGGATATGACATTACATAAATACAGTAATAAGTGGCAAATGGTAGCAGGTAAAACTTACATAGTGCTTAAATATGCCAGGCACAGTATTAAGGATCTGCAAATATTAACTTATTTAATCCTCACAACACCTCTGCAAGATAAAACTATCATTATCCTCCCATTACAGATGTGAAAAGAGATATGTATGGGCTAAGTAACGTCCCCAAGATCACATAACACATCTGTGGCGGAGCCAGGGTTTGGACTCAGGCAAGGTGACTTGTAACCAGTACCCTACAGAAAAAAAAGTCCCTCATTCCTAGGGCAAATTTACTGGGTAGAACAGTTTCTCACCCTATGTTATTCTTCAAGGAATTTTCACACTCAATCTCTGGTTGTCTTTTTATAACAGAATAAGGAAAATGGTATCAAGTTAGAGCAATCAATCTAACATTCAGCTAGATTCTACTGTCAAAACCATTAGCCACTCACAATGCTACAAAGAGCTGAAATGCAACAGTCTGGTATATTTACTTATCCTTCAAATTTCTCACAAAACTATCCTGAAGATGGAAATGATGCTTTGGCACACTTCTAGTTCTCAGCACAGCAGATCACACACAATCACACAGCACAAAGACCTACAAAACTGGGGATAATATTATGGATTATCCATAATGATTTGCATCTGCATCCATTGTTCAGTATAATATTCATCAGTGTGCTTCTGCGCTTCCATCAGCTTTCTATTCCAAAAACACAGCTGCACTTCCAATGATTGATGCTGTGCTAGAGCCAGAAAACATCTTAGCAACAGCAAGTATCCTAGCTCCCCAGGCAAAGAAGGCCCCTAGTTCTCTAATATCCACATCATGTTTATTTTTAGTTGCTATGTCCACATTTGATTCAAAGAAGCAGGCAATATGACAAATCCCTGTGTGATCAATCAGCCAAGAGCCCAAGAGACATAAATAGAGTAACCAATCTGGAAAATTAAACCAAGACTCTCCTCTAAAGAGAGGATGGCTGCCATTTTTAATGTTTTAATGTTTCCCAACCTTGGGCAGCTCTCCAGCACTCAAGGCAGGAATGGACTTCAATAGCAAACAGGCAAGAGAAAAAGAACTCTAGATCCTTAGCAAATCAAATGTTCACTAATCCTATAGTTCTATTCTCAGAAAGGTATTTGTTTCAGCTCAGTCTGCAAAAAAGGGTCTAAAAAGATGGAACAAGATCACATAAAATAATGTGCACCCTGATGTGCCCACAAGAGGATAACTCTACTTCCAAGTACTTCTTGAGGGAGAAAAGAAAGAAATGCTCAGTATAAGCTCCTGACCAATGTTTTACTGGCATTCAACAGGTAACTCCAGGGAACAATGCAATACAAGCATGGTATTATGAATATCAACTATTATACTAGTACTTAAATAGGGCTCTCAGATACCTTTTAGGATACTGTCACTTCACACATTCACCCACCCACACTACAGCATTTCTCCAGAACTGTTGGCCTAGGAAACGACCTCTCCCTTCCCACACCTCCCCACCACAGCTACCAAAGAGCAAAAGACAGAATATAGCTGAATTACTTTCTTTGGTCATATGGCTTTAAACAACTCTCATGTAACAGAATTGTAACCATACACGATAATATTCTTATCACTGAAAATGTTCATAAAGATGCTATTTCCCTTAAGCTGCTGGAAGAAGCTTTTAAAAAGTGAAAGATAAAACTCTAGTTTGTAAACTTTCAGTCTGAAAGTTGTTCCTAGTCATATGTATACCAAATTTGATAGTGAAACTTCATTAGAAAATTAATCAATAAAGTAACTGCTATGCAGTGATGTATGTCAAGTGATCACAGAAGAAGGTCCTTTTTAGTAGTTGTTTAGAATTTTGTCTCCGAAATCGAATTAACACAAAGGAAACAAATTAAGAGTTCAAATTAAATGTTTATAGGGGCCAAGGAGACAATGAGAACAGCCATCGGAAGGAACAATTTATTTCATAATGGTATCTTAGGTTGTACTCTTTAAACATAGAAACACTTTGTATATTAAATATAAATGACGGGCCGGCCCGGTGGCGCACTGGATAGGTGCGCCGCTTGGGAAGCGCGGCGGCGCTCCCGCCCAAGGGTTCGGATCCCACATGCAGACCGGTTCCCGCTCACTGGCTGAGCGAGGCGCGGGAGCAACACCGAGGTTTGCAATCCCGTTGCCGGTCCCCGGTCCGGTGCGGGGGCAACACTGAGGGTTGCGATCCGTTGCCGGACACGGAAAAAGACAAAAGACAAAAAAATAAATAAATAAATAAATAAATAAATAAATAAATAAATAAATAAATAAATAAATAAATATGACTATTTTCCCCTTCCACAAAGAAAACTATGCTTCTCCCATTTTATACATGTGACCCTATAAAAAGTAAGGGGAAAATCCTTTGTTTTTCCATATTTGATGGAGACATGGGTATCAGAATACTTCAATTTCTTCAATCCATTATTAAAAACAAGTAAAAAAAACATAAGCAGCATTACTGCAATAATAAATGACAAGTGACACTCAGCCTCACTGTCTAGACAACAGGGAGTGGTGGAGGCTGGGCAGAGAGCCCCATGTCCCATCTAAAATGGCAGCTTCTGTTCACTGTCCTTCAATGCTGCCCACCAGAAATATAATGTAAGCCACATACATAATTGTGAATTTTGTAGTAGCCACATTAAAAATTCTTGGTTAAATAAAAGAAGTGAAATAAGCCAGTTACAAAAAGACAAATACTGTATGATTTCACTTATAGGAGGTATCAAAAGTAGTCAAACTCATAGAAACAGAAAGGTGGGTGCCAAGGGGTTGGGGAGGGGAAAACGGGGAGTTGTTTAATGGGTATGGAGTTTCTGTTTTGCAAGCTGAGGTGAAAGTGTTCTAGATATTGGTTGCATAACAATGTCAATATACTTAACACGAACTGTACACTTTAAAACTGTTAAGATGAAATTTTATGTTACGTGTATGTTATCCCAATTACATTTTTTAATTTAAAATGTTTTTAAAAGGTAAAATTAATTTTAATAATCTATTTTAACCCAATATTATCATTTCAGCATATAATCAACATAGAAATTACTAATTATTTTACATTATTTTTTCATAGTAAGTCTTCAAGCTCCCATGTGTATTTTACCCTCACTGCACACCTCAATTTGTACTTGCACATTTTAAGTGCTACTGGCTACCATACTGGAACAGTGCAGTTCTAGTTAATATGTTGCTATGAGGGAATGTGGGCTATTACAGCCAGAAATCTGTATTTTACTAAGAAATATTATAATGTTAAAATATCAGCAACTAATTGATTTCTTTTTAAATTATATAAAAGGTATTTTTGTATGGAAGGATAATTTATACAGATCTTTAAGCATACCATTTGAAAAGTTTTGACAAATGTGTATATATATATCCATGTAACCAACCCTCAAATTAAGATTTATAATTTTCTTTCACATCCCCTTCCAGTTAATCGCCTCCCCTTGTCCCACCCAGCAACCTCTGTATTAATTTCTAAACTCAGATTATTTTTGCCATTATAGAACTTCATATAATGAAATTACACAGTACTTATCCTTGTGACTTGCTTCTTTCACAACATTTTATCTGTGATTACCATCCAATGCACTGTATGTAAACACAGTTCATTCTTTTTCACTGCTATGGAATAATTCATTTTTATGAATATATTGAAAATTGTTATCCATTATCCTGTGATGAATGTCTAGTTTATTTCCAGTTTGAGGTCATTATGAATATAGCTGCTGTGAATATTCTTTTGTTTTTGTTGCTGGGCAGTGTGGGGTCCTGAACCCGTGACCTTGGGATTATAAGGCTGTGTTCTAATCAACTGAGCCAACCGCCAGCCTGAATATTCTTATAAATGTTTTTTGATGAAGATGAATTAATTTACACTGGGTACATACCTACCAACCAAATCCGTCCTGCTGCCTATTTCTGTACATCCTGTGAATACAATGTTTGAATGTTTGAAAAAAAAATCTAAAGAAAAATATTTTGTGACATATGAAAATTATATGAGATTCAAACTTCAGTGTCCATAAATAAAGGTTTATTGGAACACAGACATGCTCCTTTGTTTACATATTGTCCATGGCTACTTTCATACTACAATAACAGAGTTGAGTAGTTGTGACAAGGATCATACAGTCCACAAAGTATAAAATATTCACTGAAGTCCTTTACAGAAAAAGTTTGCTGACCTCTGTCTTACACAATGCAATGGTTACAGTGAAATGTAGTCCTACTAAATTAATAAAGTTGTGCTTAACAAAAATATTTTACTCTGCCTGAGGTTTTACTTAAATTTTAAATAATTTAAATTAAATTAAAAATTCAGCTCTTCAATCACACTAGCCACATTTCAAGTGCTCAACAGCCAGCCACGTGTGGCTAGTAGCTACTGTACTGGATAACATAGTTTTGGCTGCTTTTCCAAATGTTTAATGAGGGATTCCCCAATTTTATGTTTACAATAACCCTATAAGGGAGGTACAATTGGTATACTCATTCCCTATGTGAGCCATTTGGAACTCAGATTAAGAAACTTGCCTGATGGCAAACAAAAAGTGATGAAAAAAAGATTCAAAATGAGATAGCCT